GCTGAGGCCTCCCTACCGGGTGGGTTGAGGTGCCAGGGAGGATGACAGCAATTCCTTGGGAGACAGGTGAGGGGGTGAGCCTGATGGCCTCCTGCCAGGGCCGACTGGGTCTTGGGAGCTCAGGGTGCTGTGTCCCTGGCACCTGCACCGGGTCCCTTCACCCGTCCGCTCCACCTGGTCTCCGCACCTGGTCGGTCCTGCGCAGCACGGGAGGCACCGGGCGGCTGCGGAAGTAGCGGCACGCGTGCGGGTCCTGCTGCGCGTTGTAGGGCGGGATCGCTGACCACAGCTTGGGCCGCACACTGCCGTAAGCGCGGGCCACGGAACCCACGGCCACGCAGTCGAGCACGAAGCCTTTCTCCAGCCGCAGGCACAAGGGCGGCAGCGCCATGCTGCCGTCCCGAACGCGGCCGAGGACGGGGCCCCCGGGGTCCCTGCGCTTATTACGCGTCAAGGGCCCCTGCGACACAGGCCTATTGTCGTCCTCCCCTGCGTGGGGGGCGGGCCCTGGGGGTGCCTGCGTGACGCCGAGGACACTGAGGCGGGAGGCTGACGTGGGAGGCCAGTACTCGCCCGCTCCTTGGAGCACCCTGGCTCTCCGGGCGGGGCGGGGGGTCGGTCCCTTGACAGGGGCGCGCGGCACTAACCCTGCTCGGAGCATGCGATGGCTCAGCGGTGCTGGGGATCGAACTCAGGGTCGTTGCCCTGAGACCTTTTTGAGACAGTATCTTGTTAAATCACTCGATTGCCCACGCTGGGACTGAATTTGCACTCCACCTGCCTCAGCTTCCCAGCTGAGGGAACGGACACGTGTCACGCCCGGCATTAAACTCACTTTAAATCTCTAGATTGAAGCCGGAAAACTTCCCCAAAGGCAGGTCTGCGGACTAACAGCCGCAGCTCAGAGGTCGGGACCTCGGCCAGTTCCCCCACCCCGCGCCCGGACTCTCATTCAATCTCATTAAAACTGCGACGGAAGGGCCCGTGCCACCAGGTCTTCCCTGACTTTATACCCATCTATACGGTAGGCCACGTCAAAATGTGGTCACCTCCGGTTGTTGCGGCTCTGGTGACACCTTCCCTCATACTCCTTCCCCCAGAATGACCACCGCTCATACAAACTCCTCCATTGTCACCCCAACCCTGTAAGATACTAATTAAGCTCATTTGGCAAAGAAAAGCCTCAAGCAGGAATTTACTTTTATAGGCACTAGCGTTTGTTACAGGAAGGCCCATGTGTTACCATCAAATAAGGTTGCTTCATACCTATTCAGAACCAGTGGGAATGCCCTGCTCAGCCTGTTTGATCCCACAGGAGAGGAAGCACTGACAGCCAAACGCTACTAAATTAAAACTGTATCTACACCAGGGATGGGCCAGGCATGAGGGCGCAGGCCTATAATCCCAGCACTCAGAAGGCTGAGGGAGGACTGTTGCAAATTCGAGACCTGCAAAGTGAAACCTTCTCAAAACGATTAAAAAAAAAATTAAAAATCCCGGTGTCTGGGCCCTAACCCCCACAGGCAGACTTCCCTGGTGGTGGTGGTGGTGGTAGGCTGTGCCCAGGGAACATCCTTAAGAGCTCTATCGTTTTCTACTTCTGGTTCATTCTGTAAGGGCAAAGGGGCAGTGGTCACCCAGGGCTGGGGCAGAACTTAGGTGGCGGCCAAATGCCCATTAGCTTTGCCAGGTTTTAGGCTTGTGGTGCTGGTACAGTTTACAATCTCTTCCATTGTCAAGCTGTGGGTATAGATTGGCCCAACTTGCAAATATTAAATCTTTCACTGTGGAGACAGACTTACATGGCAATAACCACATTTTGAGCGCTTATGATTTTTTAAGACAGTCTCCCCCTGTAGGCCAGACTGGCCTGGAACTTGCAGTAATCCTCCTGCCTTAGCCTGCCGAGTGCTGGATTACAGGTGTGCACATACACACACCTGTCCTACCTTGGCACAAGGTTACCCAGGGTCTGCTCAACCATTGAGCCCATCACAAATGCCTTTCATCAAGCATTATCTACTAGTGAAATTTATCTTAGGGACTCGACACCCTCTTAACCAGCTGTTACAGCAGCAGTGAAACAGTGAATGGAAGGGGCCGAAGGTCCGCAAACCCCCAAGGCAAGCCCCGTCTCCGTCTCCGCGTTCTTCACACTCGGTGGTGCCGGGCTGGGCCTGGGGGCTCCCGCACAGCAGCACCGGCCCTACTGTGAGTGGAGGCTGCCAAGGAGCGCTTCCCTCCCCACGCAGGCCGTACAGACGCATTTTACTAAGGAGGCAGCAGCTCAGGGCGTGGAGGAGAGCGGGGAAAGGAACGCGAAGGCAGGCCAGGGGCAGACACCCGGAACAGCTGTTTATTTTGTACAGATACACGCAGATCAGGCAATGCTGCCCGCATTGGACGCGATCCTCGGCCACAGGTCTGCACACTCCTTGGCCACCGGCCCTGTGATGGCAGAACCTGCAGGAAAAGGTGACAATAGGTCAGAGACCAGCTGAGCCAAACCACCCACCCCCAGAAGCTGGGGCCTCACTCACCCTTCATCTCGCCTTTGTTGTTCACTATGACCCCCGCGTTGTCCTCAAAATAAAGAAACACCCCGTCTTTTCTCCGGTACGACTTCCGCTGTCGGATCACCACCGCAGGGTGCACTGAGGAGAGCAGAGCAACCATCAACCCCCAGTCGCCACCGCAAGAGGAAGTGGCTCACACCTGGCTGCACCTGCTTTTCCCGCAGGAAAGTGTGTGCAGGAAGGCAAGGGTCACCCACTCTAAGGCACCAGCATTCTCTTCCAACTATAAATCTGCATGCTCTCTTCTGGGGGAGCAAACACCAGCACAGAATTTGTTAATCAAACAGGTGTGTCAGAGATATAGCTCAGCACCATGGTATCAGCCTGGCAAACACAAGGTCCAGAGTTCAATTCCCAGTACAAAAATAAAAAATAAAATCGAACAGGTGGGCTCTAAGCCCCCAAGTGCATCCTGGGAAGGCCACCCACTTGCACACAGAACTGGGTGGCGGCCCCTGCACCCCTCATTGGTGGCATCTCACCCAGTACACAGCAAAACCCTAAGTACAAACACCTGCATTGAAATGTACCACTTCTGCTGGATTTGGTGGCACACGCCTGTGATCCCAGCACTCGGGAGGCTGAGGCAGGAAGATCCTTGCAAGTTCGAGGCCAGCCTGGGCTGCAAAGTGAGCTCAAGGCCAGCCTGAACTGCATAGGAGACCCTGCCTCAAAAAGACACACACACACACACAAAGTACCACTTCCAAGGATTTTCTAGGAGTAAAGATATATTTCCTGGGTCAGGGTTTGCCAATATTAACTCATTTACTTGTCAGCAGTGTTTCTTTTTTGGTACCAGGAATCAAACTCAAGACCTCGCTGTGCCACTGAGCTACATCCCCAGCCCTACTTGCAAACAAACAGTCTTAACGAAAACTTGTACCTGCTGATGTGCACACCGTGGCCTTTGAACTTCCTTCCATGCAGGGTCTTTCCTGTGCACTCAGCCTCAGCTGATGCCCCTGTCCTGCCAGCCCTCCCCATGTCACATCAGGTCAGCAGTGAGGACGGACACTAATGTGCTACTAAGCACGTTCTGCTCGTATCACCCACCCCACTTTTCTGAGTGAGGACCCCGCTAACTTACATTGTCTGGGGCAGGCTTAAATTTGTGACCTGTCTGCCTCAGCCTCCCAGAGTGCTAGGATTACTCAGGCGTGTGTGTTGCCATGCTTGCAGGCTGTACCATGCCCAAACATGCTTTTCATCGATCTTTCTCTTTTGTCCTCCCAACCCAGACTGAGACAAACTGATGAAGGAAAGAAGCATGAGATATCTAACTAATGAATAAGCAAGCAGAATAGACTCCCCCATCAGGAGGTGGCCTGTCCCATCCTCTGGTCCACTGCCTTCCTGTGTAGCGGCAGCAACACCCCCAGGCCTCCCTCCCCCTGCATCCTAGTTGAGAAGCCTCTTGTGTAAAGTCCTTGAATCACTGTGATTGGCTCTCTGTATCATACTTGCTGTTAATGGTCAGGGAAAAGGCAATCTCATTTCCTTCCAGTTGTTGTTATTATGCCAAGAACAAACCTGACTAATGCTTTTTAAGAGGTTGTTCCAAAAAGGAGCAACCAACACATAACCTGTATTAGGAAAAATAACCACATTTAATAGGGTATTGTGGCACATGCACACCTAAAATCGCAGCCATTGGGAGGCTGAGGCAGGAGGACTGCTGTGTGTTCAAAGCCAGCCTGGGCTACATTAAAAATAATAGTAAGAAGAAAAACTATTACTAATACTTTTTTTTGCTTAAACAGGTCAAGTTACTATTATTGCTTTCAGACAGGGTCTTGCTGTGCAGTCCAGGCTGGCCTGGACTTGTGGGGGGTGCTGGGGTCACACTCCTGTGTGCTTTCTATAGAAACTGTACCGCCTCCTTCAGTGCTCACAGCCCACGGCAGAGGCTGGGCAATGGTTCGAGGCGGCAGTCTGCTCTCGCATGGTACACTATGAAAGGCCCACGCAGAAGGACCCACCATAAATCCATCACCATGCTCTTTCCTGTCTTCTTCTGAGACAGGGTCCCACTACGTAGTTCAGGATGGCCTGCAACTCCCAGTGATTATCCAGCATCAGCCTCCCAAATGCTGGGATTACAGGTGCGTACCACCACACCCAGCCCTTTTTTATTTATAAACACAAAAACCTGGGAACTAGTCTAGATAACCTATGGTGGAGGTTCATAAAGACCTGTGTGACTATTTGAACACCTACTGTTTCTTACCCAGGACAGCTGCCTGTAGATTATGAGCAGGTTATGGAGTGTCACAGGCCATTTGCATATGAAGCATCAGACAAGGTTGTATTTGGCACAGAAGCAAGCAAAGGAGTAGGCAGACACCTGTTAAGTCCAGCACTAATGGGGCAGAGGCATGAGGACCGAAAGTTCAAGCCCAGCCTAGGCGACACAGCAGAACACCTTCTCAAAAAGTAAAAAAGGCTGGGGATGCAGCTCAGTGCAAAGGCTCTAGGCTTACTCCTCAGCCAGTGGGAAGACACAGTAGGAAAACACGTGACACTAGTGACAATGATCATCTCTTGGGAGACCTACGAGTTGGGTCAGTTTTAGAACTTCATCTACTCACAAACCATTTAATAAGGCCAAGAACTCAAGACCCCAGACCCTAGTCTTGCCCCGCTGTGCGTTTCTCTGCTTGTGTATGAACATCTGTACTTAGCAGGAAGAGGAACAAAGAAGACAAGAACACAATTTATGACAACAAAGCCGAGCATGGTGGTGCATGCCTGTAATCCCAGCACTTGGAAGGCTGAGGCAGGAGGATCACTATGAGTTCGAGATCAGCCTGGGCTACAAAGTGAGCTCAAGGCCAGCCTGAACTGCATAGTGAGACCCTGTCTCAAAAAACAAAGAATTATCACAAGTTCTGCAAGTGCTAAGGGCTCAACCCCTAGCTTTTGCTTTGCTTGCCCGCCCCCCCGACAGCCTTGCTATCTAGCCAAGAGTGGCCTCAAACTTGTGATCCTCCTGCCTCAGCCTCCTGAGCACTGAGGTCACACACCTGAGTCACCACGTGATGGTGTAAATACTTCCAGCCCACGATCAAGCAATGAGCAGCCCCTTGCTTTAGTTTCTGTCAGCACCAACCATTGACAAGACTTCAGCCACGCAGCCTTGGGTACAGAGGGTGGCTTTGAAGCCCACCAGCTGAACACCACCTGCTCCGCTGTGCTGACCAAGGGTCAGGGCTGTAACAGGTCACCTGCTCCACACACTCAGCCTTCAGCTGGCTGGCACAAGCCCTCGACAAGGGATATGGGTACCAATGTCTGTGAGGACATAAAGTTGAGAGCTGACCTGTTCTGACTCTAAGCTACTGAAAATACACATTCACTCAGCAGCACCTTACGTTTTGTCGTAGCTGGGAGTCAGTGAGGACAGATCTGTTGTCGTGGAACTTCACAGGTCTACAAGTGCCTGGCGAATCCAGCTGCAGCAGCGGCAGGTTAAAATACTCTGGGCCCTACCTGACATCAAAAAACTTAAGAGTGCAGGTGACAAGAATCTGAGGTGAGGGGCTGGGGATTTAGCTCAGTGGCAAAAGCGCCTGCCTGGCAAGTGCAAGGTCATGAGTTCGGTTCCCGGTACCGGAGAAAAACCAAAAAAAAAAAAATCTGAGGTGTTTCTCTCAAGAGAAAGACAGTATTTGAGAGTCCTCAAGAACTGGAAAACTAGGGCCCGAGATATAGCTCAGCGGCATAAGCACCTGCCTGGCAAGCGCAAGGTCCTGAGTTCGATTCCCGGTACCACCAAAAAAAAAAAAAACCTGGAAAACTAATGCTCCCTTTTCAGTAACTGGAGAGGACCCTGGGCTGTACAGCTAGGATCAGGCAGCCCCTGCCGCCCTGCTCACCCTTCTTTCTGAGCTCGGGTTTGCCCTTCTTGACTGTGGCCATCACCATGTCGCCTACACCAGCGGCGGGAAGTCTGTTCAGGCGTCCCTTGATCCCCTTCACAGAGATGATATACAGATTTTTGGCTCCTATGAAAGAACGGAAACAAGACGGATTTTTGAGGGCCTACTGGACACTCACTCCGAAGCCTCGTGCTCCGCTCACTGCCCAAACAGCTGGTCCCCAACGGGGAACGTCTTGTCACACCACCGATTGAAGTGAAACAACACAACACGCTGCCACTTCACCCAAGAGCGGTGTCTGTTCTCTGCCCTTCTTGACGGCTCACTGGGTCATCAGCGAGAGGCCCAGCGAGTGCTTTCAAAGGGCGGAGTGGAGCAGGCGCAGCTAGAGCCTCACCTGTGTTGTCCGCGCAGTTGATCACGGCTCCCACCGGAAGACCCAAGGAGATCCGGAATTTCGCACCGGAGGACCCACCGCGTCCTGTGGGAGAAAGTGAAAAGATGAAGGGGCCACCGTCGAGACACGGTGCGGGCATTTACAAGCTCGCCTCCTACTAATCAGCCCTCTGCAGGAGTCCTTACCAGAACCACCCGCAGGTCGGTATTTAGGAGCCCGGTGCACTCAAATCTTTGCTCCAATTTTTGCAACACGCAGCTTCTCCGGCAAGGTGGACCGCATCGGTCGCCCAAACGAAGCTGGACAAGTATGACTCCACTACCGCAGGAACGTGTGCCGAGCAACCTCACCTGGACCCGTCCACGACCGAGTTCGGATCCTGCCAGCTCAACGCTCCAGCTCCCCCACCCGCCACTTTCGGGGCCCTTCCAGAGCCCTCACGGTGCCCTTCCTCCCCTTCTCCGGCCCAGAGGGGAGCAAAGCGCCCCAGCTGCACGGGGCTGCCACTCCCGAGGAAGCCGACAACTCCCGCTGGACAGATGGCAAAGGATTCTCCAGAACCAAACCTCACCTCGCTTCGACATATTGGACGCCGGAAGAAGACAGAAAGGAAGTAAGCACAAGGAATGCTGGGATATGAACGCGATGCCCCGCCCACTCTAACACGTGACCGCTCGGAGGCTCAACCCACCTCTTTTCCCCTCCCCACTGCGCAGCCTTGTGACGTAATAAATTCTGGACCGTACCTGGTGCTCACGCGCGACGAGAGCGGGGAGGAAGGTTGCGTAGTCGTCCGGCTTGCGTGTGCCTGGTGTCATACTATTATTATTTTTATTTATTTATTTATTTTTGTCTCTTTAAGACAGGGTCTCAATATGCAGTTCAGGCTGGCCTAGAGCTCACTTTGTAGCCCCGGGTGGTCTCAAATTTGCGACGATCCTCCTGCCTCAGCCTCCCGAGTGCTGGAATTACAGGCGTGCGCCACCACTCCCGGCTTATTATTTTTAATATATACTGCTTTATTTTTATATGTATTTTTTAGCGATACCTGGGGTTGAATCCAAGAAACACCGAATGACATCCCTTAGCCTTTGTCTTTTCTTTTGATTCAGAGTCTCACTGTAGCCGGGGGTGGTGGTGCACGCCTGTAATCCCAGCACTCCGGAGGCTGAGGCAGGAGGATCCTTGCGAGTTCGAGACCAGCCTGGGCTACAAAGTGAGCTCAAGGCCAGCCTGAACTGCAGAGCCAGACCCTGTCTTAAAAAAAAACAAAAAGAACAAAAAACCCCAGAGTCTCACTATATAGTCCTGGCTGGCCTCGAACCCCCACCCGCACCCCGTCACACTTCCGGCTTCTGCAGCAGTGTGCTGCTTAGGGTGCCTACAGCCCTACAGTCCAGAATCCACACCCTCTCCTGCTGGATCCGCAACAAGTTCTTCGAATCCTGCTCCAATGTCATCTCTCCCAGGGGCCCCCAGCAACGCCAGGGAGCCACTTTACTTGGAGGGGAGGTTCTCAGATATTTTCATCTGAGACCAATTCCACTGCGTTTGCAGTACTACTGGGGACTGAACCTAGGGTCTCGTGCGTGCTGGGAAAGCCCTCTGCCTTGTCTATTCCCAGCCTCCCTCACACTCTCAGATGATGGAGGGCCTCAAAAAAGTGTTTAGATGGGCATGATAGCAGTGCCTGTGATTCCAGCACTTGGGAGGCTGAGGCAAGAACATCCCAGAGAGGCCAGTCTGAGCTACACAGTGAGTTCAAGGCCACCCTGGGCTATAGAGGGAGACTGTCTCACAAAACCAAATCAAGCCCTGCTGAGGCCCACGTCTATAATACCGCCACTGGGGAGGCTGAGGCAGGAGGGTCACCATGAGTTAGAGGCTAGCCTGGGCTACATAGTCAGCCCAAGACTAGCCTGAATTACATAGCAAAACCCTTCCTCAAAAAACAAACAGGCCAGGCATGGTGGTACATACCTGTAATCCAGTGCTCAGGAGGCAGAGGCGGGAAGATCGATGTGAGTTGAAGGCCAGACTGAACTGCACAGTGAAACTCTGTCTTTAAAAGACAAAAAAAAAAAAAAAAGCTACCAAGAGAGAAATATTGGCTTATTTATTTCCCATTTCCAGATTCGACCTCAATGTGTAGCCCAGGATGGCCTGGAACTTGCCATCTTCCTGTCTCAGCCTCCTGAGCAGTCAGAGGTGCTATAGGTATACAGTGCCACACCCAGCAAGAAATGTTTAAATATCGTTAACTTGTTCAAAATTATAATAAATCAAAACACTTATAATAAACCTATTAGCTGTTTAAATAGATGCATTTTGAGATGGGGTTTTGCCAAGTTGCTGAAGCTGAGGTTCAATTTGTGTTTTTCCTGCCTCAGCCTCCTGAAGTGCTAGGATCACAGGCATGTGCTACCATGCTGGCTAAATAGCGTACACTGAATTATTTATCTATCTATTATAGATAAGATCACAGCAATCCTGGGAATTGCTGGAATTATAGGTGTGGGCATTCACACCAGGTTGAATTATTTATTTAGCCTTAATGGGAATTGAACCCCTAGCCTTTGTCCTAAGCTACATCTCCACTCTTTTTTTTTTTTTTTTGTCTTTTTTGAGACAGGGTCTCACTATGCAGTTCAGGCTAGTCTTGAGCTCATTTTGTAGCCCAGGCTGATCTCGAACTCATAAAGATCCTTCTGCCTCAGCCTCCTGAGTGCAGAGATTACAGGTGTGTGCCACCATGCCTGGCCCTCCACTCTTTTTTTTTGTTTGTTTTTTGTTTTTTTCCAGTACCAGGAATCGAACTCACGACCTTGCACTTGCCAGGCAGACGCTGTGCCGCTGAGCTAAATCCCCAGCCCCCTCCACTCTTTTTTTTTTAATAATGAATTTTTTATTCAATTTTAAAATTTTTATTAGTACATATTTGCAGTACATAATAATTACATTAATCCTGGGGAATTGGATTAATTGGTACATGTACATAACATATTGTAATTATTTTTATCTTCCCTTCTCCTCCACCCTCATTTTCTTTTTAAATTTTGGGACAAGACCTGACTGAAATTGCTAAATTGCTTAAATTGGGCTGGAACTTTTTTTGTCTTTTTTGGGGGGGTACTGAGAATCAAACTCAGGACCTTGCCCTTGCCAGGCAGGCACTGTGCCACTGAGCTATATCCCCAGCTGGCCTGTCTTTTTTTGAAACAAGGTCTCGCTATGGAACTTTCAATCCTCCTGCCTCAGCTTCCCAGAGTGCTTGGATTCTGGGTGCGCACAACCATGCCTGGCTAAATAACATTTCAAAATAGAAAATAATCAAAATTTTTGTGCCGGGTGTGGTGGCGCACACCTGTAATCCCAGCACTTGGGAGGCTGAGGCAGGAGGATCATTGCGAGTTCAAGACCAGCCTGGGCTACAAAGTGAGCTCACGGCCAGCCTGAACTTCACAGCCAGACCCTGTCTCAAAAAGACATAAAAAAAAAAAAAAATTTCAGGCCAGGGATATAGCTCAGTGGCACAACGCTTGCTTGGCAAGCACAAGGTCCTGAGTTCAATTCCCGGTACAAAAAACAAAAAACAAACAAAAAAAAAAATCAAAATTTTCCAAATGTAATAATATAGTAAGAAAAATGGATTTACTTTACATTTTGGGGGAAATCCCTTTATATGAGGCTTAATGAAAAAGTGCTGATTTTTCATGGTTCTACATGTAATCTGTTGGTATCACATATCAGGTGAAAAGCTCCTCTGCATACTCATGAAAGAAATGAATGAAACAAGCATGTGTAAAAAAATGTTCAGGCTGGTGTGGTGGTGTGCACCTGCAGTCCCAGCACTTGGGAGGCTGAGGCAGGAGGGGCACCGTGAGTTCAAGGCCATCCTGAACTACATATACATAGGGAGACCCTATCTCTAGAAAACAACAACAACAAAAATGCAAGAAAAAAAAAGCCAAAAAAGTTTAGGTTGTATGTAGTAATAACTTGTATAGTTTCAGAAGTTGAGGATTTTTTTCCAGTTTTAAAAAAAATTCATGTGCGCCAAATGTGATGCACGCCTGTAATAGGAGCACTGAAGGAGCTAAGGCAGGAGGATTGCTGTGAGCTCAAAGCCAGCTTGGGCTACGTAGTGAGTTCAAGGCCAGCCTAAGCTATATAGCGAGACCCTGTCTCAAGAACAAGTATAAGGCTGGGGATATAGCTCAGCGGCATAAGTGCTTACCTGCCAAGCGCAAGGTCCTGCGTTTGATCCCTGGTACCAAAAAAAAAAAAAAAAAAAAAAAAAGAACAAATATATTTTTGTTTGTGCACTTGGATACATAATGAATGCCTAGCACTGTGCCACTGAGCTATAGCTGGAGCTGAGCTATAGCTGGGATATATATCCCAGGCCTGAGATAGGAAGATTGCTATGAGTTTGAGGTCAGCCTGCATCGCATAGCAAGACCTTACCTCAAAAAACAAAACCAAGAAGAAAAAAAAAAAAAGCAGACAAACCTCAGTCAATGTTTTGAAACTACCATGTTTTTCAGGGTTTTTTTTCTTTTCTTTTTTTTTTTTGAGACAGGGTCTTGCTGTGCAACCCAGTTCAGGCTTTTTTTTTTTTTTCTCTGTACCGGGAATCGAACTCATGACCTTGTGCTTGCCAGGCAGGTGCTGCACTGCTGAGCTAAATCCTCAGTTCTAGTACAGGTTACCTTTGAGCTCACTATATAGTCCAGGCTGGCCTCCAACTTGAATTGATCCTCTTGCCTCAACCTCAGCCTCAGCCTCAGCCTCTCCAGTGCTGGGATTACACGTGTGACACCGCACTTGGCTTCAGTTGCTTTTATTTTGTTTACATCTGTGCCTTCTCACTGATAAATTAATATCATCCAGTACAAAAGTAGTAATTTTGAACGAGCCTCAGTATCAAAAAGTACCAACATATAAATAGATCTCTCAACAGTGAAGTAGTAGAGGGGGTATAGCTCAGTGGTAGAGCATTTGACTGCAGATCAAGAGGTCCCCGGTTCAAATCCGGGTGCCCCCTTGGTGAATGTACTTTTTGCAAGCAGTGGGTTCTAAAACAGACCATCTGGAAGTGAGTGATTTCTGCATCCAATACTCCTTAAAGGCGTCCTTTGCCATTTACACGTAATTTTCTCTCGAAGGTTTCTGGTATCCGACAACTAGAGGGCAGTCCCCCTTGTGGGTGGGAAAGGTATGAATGCTGAACTGGGTGAGAAACTCTCCCGTTCTCCAGATTGGTAGAATAAGTGTACCAAGTCGTTCTTACCTGAAACGCTATTCACCAACACTGCTTTTGTTTTTTGTTTGCTTGTTTTTGAGACAGGATCTCCCTGTGTAGTTCAGGCTGGCCTTAAACCCACCATATAGCTCAGGCTGGCCTCAAACTCTCAGAGATCCTCCTGCCTCAACCTTCAAAATGCTGAGATTACAGGCCTCTACCACCATGCCCTGCTTTTAATGTTAATTAGAATTTGGTTTGGGGGAAAAATGGTGTGTCAGGGTTGGAGCAACATTCCTTTGCCTAGTTCATCCTTGCCGGAGAAGATTAGGAGGATGAGTCCAAGTTCGGGTGTAAGAGGCCTGGGGTGACCAACTTCCCTTCACAGGAGCTCAGGACACGGCTCCCTGGCGGGGGCAGCCGCTGGCTCG